AAAACAGAGCAACAGCTTCTGGGAGAGCTTTATGCTGACAAGGCATACCTGGAGAAGTTGCTCAAGGATGAAGGTATTTATCTTTCTCAGCAGATTCTATTTTTCTTTCATCCCTTTTTTATTCTTCTTTATTTCTTTTCTTCTTTTATATTCCTGTGACTCTTCATTAGTTGTACCAGAGCTCACGTAGCACATGGTGCTCGTGGTGGTGGGGACACAGGCAGGTGTTTGCTCATGGGCTGTGGGTTTGTTATAAATGCTGTTAAGGTCAAGATGCAGGAATTGGAGAAGTATCTTATTTTAGAAAAAGGCACAAAGACGATTCTCCTTTAGTCATATTTCTAGGGAACTTTTCACCCAGAAATGGAGAAGTGATTAAGGTTTAGTTTGCTCACAGGTTTTACAGTGTTGCCAGTATTAATTACACATGTGGGCGGTCTGGTTTGCAGGCAGGTAAAAACCCTCTCAGTTTCCATCTGCCAACCTGATCCACAGCACTGTTCAAAGTGCCCTGTCAATACAGATGTGCCATACAGATGATTTGTCCCAGAGGACAAGTACTCAGCACAGCTGGCCCCACTTACAGGGCCCCTTCTTGGCTCTGATCAGCAGAGAAGGCTACAGATATGAGGCTGGAACAGCAGCTCAGCTCACTGAACCACACAGGATGGGTAACAGGTCATTGTTAACTCCCCCATCACCTCAGCTCTGAGGAGCATGTGGCACTTTAATATCCAGGACTGTCTGTGTCAGAACAGAAAAACGTTCCAAATCAATTCCCCACTGAGCTGCAGCTCAGGTCCGTTGATTCTCACCTGGGTTCTATCTTATCTCATTTCCAGACTTGATGCAGAGCAGCACAAGGCAGGGGATCAAAGTCATGGACCTGGTTTTGGATGGCATCTCCTACCTGAACCACCGGCGGGACTTCTGGCAGCAGCAGAAGCCGATTTACGCCCGGGTGTACGAGCGCAAGGTCCTGCGGCAGGGGCGGATGCAGGACCAGAAACAGAAACCATCTGACATTAGCAGATCCATCGCAAAGAATATGGAGGATATTGATCTGTGTAGGTTCCTGGCTGGCAGCTGAGTGCCTCCCAGTGCTGTGGGGAGCTCTAACTATTCCCAAGCTTTGTCTGAGGGTTAGCCACTTCACCAGGTCTCGCTTCCTGAGTATCACAGAATCCCAAGATGGTTTGGGTTGGAAGGGACCTTGAAGTTCATCCTGTTCCACCCTCCACCATGGGCAGGGACACCTTCCACTATCCCAGGTTGCTCCAAGCCCCATCCAAGCTGGCCTGGAACACTTCCAGGGATGGGTATCTCACAGCTTCTCAATGTCTGTGTGTCACACTGCGCTGTCAAACTCTGCTCCCTGTCCCCAGTGCTGGCCAGAGGTTCTGCTGAGGAAAGCTGCAGGAAAGCTGAGCGTATGCTGAAAAAGATCCAAATGTGGTCTGAGAATGAAGTTCCCAACAAGAATGAACTGATTGGGAACCTCCACAGCTGCATTGGGAGTGCACAGTTGGCCATGGGACAGATGGAGGCAGCTTTGCGCAGCCATAAGATGGATCTGGATTGTGCCAGGCAGAAGTAAGTTCTGGGAAGTTCAGGTGGGTGGAGAAAGGGGAAAGTGCCTCTGTGGGGGTGTTTTAGCATTAGGTAATGCAATTCTCACCTGGGGAGTTTAACAGGGTTACACATTCAGCTCTGCCCAAGTGTTCTGTGGTGACTTTTTATCTTCACTATTTCAAACTAAGGAGCCTGAAGCAGATTTTTAAAGATCCACAGCACAGGGCACATCAAAATCTCTGCTGTAGTAAAGAAAAAGAACACAAGTCCCAGTCTCAAGCATTTCCTTCTCAGGAAGATCAGGCTTGAAATTGCACCAGTTTTCTGCTACATTTTGTCTTTAACTCCTTTTCATAGAGACCATTGAGCATGGCTTGAAATAAAGGTCTCTTCCAGGTGCACTTGCCTGTCTGCACTGGACACATCCAATAGCTCTTGAACCACAGTGGAGCAAAATGTAGTCTTAAATTTAGCAAGAGTTTGCAAAGCATAGCAGAAATCATGGCACAGTGGCTTGAAGCGATTTGGGACTTCTGTTTGGCAGTAGTGCACTGAGCTTTTAAAATGTCACTGAGGGGTTGTTTCTCATTTTCAAAAATCCTTTTGGAAACGAATGCTGGTTTAGGAAAAGGCTGCCTCTCTCCTGGTGATGCCAGGTAAAGGCAGGAATTACAGGAGAGGGGAGGAGGAGACGCCCGGCTTTGGGACCGCTCTGAACGGGAAGGACCGGCGGTGACGGGCGGGCCGCGCCCTCTGGCGGCTGCAGCCGGTAATGACGTTAATGAGTCGTTAATGACTTTGTTAATGACTCGTTAATGACTTGTTAATGACTCGCGTTAATGATTCTGTGACGGCGGGGGGTTTGAACTGGATGAGCCTTACGGTCCCTTCCCACCCAAACCGGTCTGCGATTCCATGACTCCCATCGCATTTATCTGCTCCTCGCATTGGCTTTTCCATCTCCAAGGTAAGGGTAGGCAAGGGCACTTCTGAAGATGAGAATGAGGATAATTAAGAAAAAAATAAAAGCCTACAGAGCCTGTTATTACAGAGGGAGTTGCCTGTAGCATGGAGCAAAGCTCGGTCCAAGCACGGGATCAGCGCCGGTGTCAGGAGCCTGCAGACACACTGCAGACACCTTTTTGGATCTTTGTTTTGGAAGACAAAAATCATCCGTGACTTTCAGGGACACAGAGGGAAACAGGCAAAGAAAAGTGGAAAGACTTTCCCAAGGACTGCTAGATTTGCACACAAATTAATAATAATAATAATAATAAATGGCAAAGCTAAACCATTTCCCCTGTGGAAATGATTCCCTAAACCATTTCTTCATGGGGTCAGCTGTAGATAAAATCAAAAATCAACCTTAATTTCATGACTTTCAACCTAACATGGGCCCTTTGCTTCCCAACGCTTCTCTGAGAGCACGGGGAGCACCAGAAGGACCATGAGGCTGAAGAAACCCAGAGTGAGTGAGGAACAGGACGATGTCAGTGCCACAATCCCTTTGTCTCCCTGTCTCAGCTCTCTGACAGATGCCGTGTCCCGGGCCCTGGACAACATCGGCCACGTGTACGCCCGAATTGGCAAGTTCCAGCAGGCCATCAACACGTATGTACAGCCCAGCAGCAAAGGCATCAGGGGGTTGGAGTGACCCAGGTCATGGTCCTTCAGTGGTGTGTCCTCACTGCAGCCATGCCTGGGGACATTTTCACACCTGAACCCTTTGCTATCACACCAGTGGTTGTGTGGTAACTGTACCCAGTGAGGGTTGGTGAAGGTATATCTGTCTTACTCTGCTTGAAGCTGGGAGGAGAAGATTCCACTGGCCCAATCCAGCCTGGAGAAGGCCTGGCTGTTCCATGAAATTGGGCGGTGCTACCTCGAGCTGGATAAAGCTGAAGTAGCCCGAGATTATGGCCAGAAGTCCCTGCAGTCAGCAGATGAAGAGGGAGATGTGGAGTGGCAGCTCCACGCCACCGTGCTGGTGGCACAGGCACAAGGTAAAGATGTGGGCACAGGTTTTGCTCTCAGGGTGGAGAAGCGGGTCTGAAAACATCTCTAGGATTTAACAGCCAAAGCAACTGCTCAGATTGGCTTGATTATTTCTTACTCCTGATTCTGGGCTAAACCAGCTGATATCCTTGTCTGTTCCAGTGAAAATGAAAGACTACCGGTCTGCAATCATGAATTTTGAAAGGGCTCTGGAGAAGGCGAAGCTTGTGCCCAGTGAAACTGCTCAAAATGCCATCATAGCGGTAAGGGGGCTGCTGAGGGGAGGAGGAGCTCTGGGCAGCCTCTGTCAGTAGCTGCTATCCCAGCTGGGATACTCCAGCCAGTAGAACGCTGTAGAAATGCAGTTTTACAGTAGGAAAGGATCTGATAATGATAGCAGAGAACAAAAGAAAACAGGAAAATGTTGGGTATGTAGTTGCATTTCTGGGGCTTTTATTAAGAACTTCATCCCTTTCAGGCCTTGGATAATGTGAGCAAAAGCTTCATTGCAGAGCTGAACAAAAGCCACAAAGACGGGATTCTCTCACTTAAAGGTACTTGTACCTCTGCAGCCAAAAATGGGAAAAAAACCCCACTCTCCTGTTCTGCATATCCAGCAGCACCTTAGAATTCCCCCAGCACACATTTCCTTGCAAGTATTGAATTAAAATCTTGGTGGAAGTCCAGCATTGCTTCAGCTGCGCTCCCAAGTCCGGCCGTGCCCAGCTGAGAGCAGGAGATGGCAGCGCTCCGAGTGTCCCCTGCAGGCTGTCACCGACACCCCGGCCCTGGCCCGTCCTCCTGGGGTTCGCTGGGGGGTCCTGGCAGGGCGCTGTGCCCGCAGTGCCCTCAGGCCGTGCAGCCCAGCGCCTGCCCTGCCAGGACCCAAACGGGAGTGAGAGATTCCTGCTGAGGCTGAGGGAGCCTGTCTTGTGCCCAACTGCTGAGTTCTAGGACTTGGCTTGTTTTCTTTTCCTTTCCCAGATCGTCTCTTCAGCAGTGAAGACATAAAAAACACCACTGAGAACGTGAAAGAGGAAGGGAATGAAGATGAAAAGCCGTCAGAGGAAGCCAGAAACGGTACATAAGCAGACGGAAACACAAGGGGAAAACACAAGGAAATAAAGGGGAGCAGTGGGGAAAAGTAGAGCCTAGGCGGGAAGATGAAATAAATATTGAGCAAGCGTCATACCCAGCACTGGAGTGGTGTCAGGAGTAGGGAAGGAGCTGGTCTGAGCCGCCGCCGTACTCGGAGCGCTGCCTCCCCCCTCCCCGTACCCCGGGCAGCATCCCCGGCACCGGCTCCTCCGCGGGCGGGCGGGGCGGGGGCCGAGCCCCGGAACCGCCGCCCCGGGGAGGGTTCGGCCCGGCCCTTGGGGGCGGGCGGGCCCCGGGGCTATGAAAGGAGCCGCGGCCGCGCCCGCCCCAGAGCCGCTTCCCCGCCGCGCCGCTCCGCACCGGCGGCCGCCCCGGAGCCGCTGCCCTCACCATGGTAAGCGGGGCCGGCGGGATGGGGACTCACCGGGATTAGCATGGGGATCGGGGCCGCCGCTCCGCCCGGCAGAGGTCCCGGTTCCCGGAGGGTGGAAGCGCCGGCGGCGTGGCCGACACGTGGGTGCCGGGTCCTGGGGGGGGTGCGGAGGCAGCCGGGCCCCGAGAACGGCCCCGGGGGCCCGCGGCTCCGACTCGGGGGTCCCGGGACACCCTGGGGGCTGCCGGGGCACGGACAGCCCGGGACCGGGGGCGATCGCTCCCTCCGCGAGCCCCTGTTCCATGGGGAGCAGGAGACAAGCGGGAGCTGTGTGGGGGCGGCGGGGGGGCCGGTCCCGGCTCAATGGGAGATTGTCCGGCGAGACCCCGCTCCCCCGGGCTCTGCGGAGCCTTTGTCCGCCCGGCCCGGCCCGTGAAGGCGCCCGTTGTCCCCGAGCCGGCGGCGAACAATGGCCCGGGGGGGCCGCGATTGTTCCTTTGTTCACGGGGCTGAAAAGCGCTTCAGTCCCCTCAAGCAGCTGCCGCGGCAGAACAGCGGCCCCGGTCCCCGCCCGCGGGACGGCCCGGCCCGGTGCGGGGACAGCCCGGCCCGGTGCGGGGACGGCCCGGCCCGGTGCGGGGACGGCCCGGCCCGGTGCGGGGACAGCCCGGCCCGGTGCGGGGACGGCCCGGCCCGGTGCGGGGACGGCCCGGCCCGGTGCGGGGACAGCCCGGCCCGGGGCCGCCGCAGCACCGGCTCCGGCCGTGTGACCGCCCCGGCAAGCGGGGCACTGTGCTGCGAGGAGCAGCGCTCCAGGTCACTCACCGGCTTCCTCCGGTGTGAGCCCTTTGAGCCCCGAGGCCGCGGTCGCTGGGGAGCCCTGCTGCTCTCAGGTTTGTCCCCGGCTGGGAGTGAGGCTGCAGCTGAGCCCCGTGGAAACTGTGGGGTCCTGCTCCTGCTCCCAGGACATTTGGAACCAAAACCTTCTGGAATAAAGAGATGGGGAAATCAACATCTGAAGTGTTTTTAAAAAACTGTGAACTGGAAAAACATTTTTCTGGCCCAGGCAGAGCAGTTATGTTTTACATAAAACTTCTCAATTTTTGCATCAAAGGCAAAACTCACTTCTTGGGTATTGCTCTCGTGGTCTTTGGCTTAAGCAGGTGCAGTGGATCCCAGGCTGGGCTGGCCCACAGACAGCGCTGGGGGTGGAAAGTTCATGTATTGACCCAACAAACAGTGTCTGCCTCGTTGATGCTATTGAGGACTTGCACAGCTGAAGAAATCCCTCGTTTCCTTTCAGTCCCGTGTTTTCCCAGGCCCTACTGGGAATTAATCTGGGATTCTGCTTACCAGAGCTGCTGGCAGGAGGGGAGGGAGAGCCTGTGCCAGCTCCCAACGGCATTTCCCGCTCACTGCTGCCAACCACGAGTGTTTCATTTCCTCCAGCACTCGAGGTTTCACTTTCGAGTTCTGCCTGGCAGCTGCTGGGAGGGGTTTGGCTTTCCTGGAAGCCATCTCAGTTGTTCTTCCCAAGAGAAGCCCAAATTCCTGCGAGGCACTCAGCTGCTGATCCTCAGTGCAGCTCAGAGAGAGACAGCATCATCCTTGCCAGGTGCCCTAGGGAACAGCCCCTTCCCTGGGAGTAGAGTTTGTGGTTCAGGTGAGGGGACAGGCGTGTGGCAGCTCTCAACCTGCTGAACTTTCAGTTCCTGTTGGGCTCCTCCACAGCTCACTGCTCTCGCATCCGGCAGCCACAGGGGTTTGTTTGAGCATTCAGACTGAATGTGCCACACGAGGAGCTCTGCCCGGGCTGGGGCTTTGTGGCAGCTCATGGTGCCTGAGAAACCTCTTCTGGGTGGGGCAGAACTGCAGCTGCCAAGGCCAGAGCGGGGAGCAGGGCTGAACCTTCAGCTCTTGGGTGGGATGCAGTGGATCCCTGCTGTGGGAGAAGGTGTCAGCTGAGCAGGACACCCAAGTGAGGGAGTGTGGGGGAGATGCTCCCTGTGCCCCATCCTTTCCACTAAAGTGTCAGCAGAGCCACATTTTCTCTGGGGTTCCTGCCCTGCAAAGTGTTTTCTCCTTCCATTTCAGAACAAAGGCTTCTCCAAGAAGAGTCACACTTTCCTGCCTAAAATATTTAGAAAAATGTCTACTCAATCAGCAAAAGAGAGACCTGAGAGTTTGCATTTCCCATTCCTGGATGATGAAGATACCATCTCCACACTCAAAGAATCCAAAACCTTTTTCATCCTCCGGGGCCTGCCTGGCAGCGGGAAGTCCACCCTCGCCCAGGCCATCCACGATCGGTACAAAGACGCCTGCAGGGTCATCTCTGTTGATCACTATAAAATCACACCTCTAATAAGAAGCACCATTCCTGAAGAGTACTCCAAGGTGGATGAGGATCTAGTTGACTATTGCAAACGGGAGATCAGCGTCATCGTTTTGGATGACACTCACCATGAGCGGGAACGGCTGGACCAGCTCTTTGACATTGCCGACAAGTACCGGTACAAAGTCATCTTTGCCGAACCCAAAACCCCGTGGCGCTTGGATTGTCCCCAGCTAAAGGACAAGAATCAATGGAAACTAACTGTGGAAGAGCTGAAGAAGATGAAGCCAAGCTTGGAGAAGGAATTCCTCCCCATGTATTTTGGGTGGTTTTTGAGCAAAAGAAGTTCGGAGATCCTGAGGAAGGCTGGCCAGGCATTCTTGGATGAGCTTGGGAGTCTCAAAGCCTTCAAAAAGGAGAGTAAATACTGTATGTATAGATGTTGTCTTACCACGTTCTTACCTGTTGATGTTAACAAGTCTGACCAGCTTCTAAAACCAATTTCTAAAGCTGTCAACAACAAAAGCTTTTTAAAGCTACTAACCTGGTCATCATAGTTGACAAAGTTGCTTTTCTAAGTAAAAATAAAGAGTTTTTCCTGTGTCTTTTTAGCTCTGGCACCACAGGGCACTGAGCTCGGGCAGCAGCAGCAGGACATGGGATCCTGGGTGTCCCCTGGTTCCAATGGCTTGGGTGGGAAAAAGGCAAAGAGAAATGGGCAAAGCTGAACAATCCCATCCCTTAGGGGACCCTCACATCATCAGGTTTAAGATGAGCCACGATGGTGCACAGGAGCTTCTGTTCTCTGGCTCCATCTGCCGTGAGCCTGGGAGGAGGGAGGGGTTTGGTTTCCCACTCAGCACTCCCCAGCAGTCAGAGAGATGAGATGTGAATGCTGGGGTAGGGAAGGGAGCTGAGACTGGACCAGGGCTTGTGGGTTGACATTGGGGGAATCACTTTGTGACAGTGACATTGTTTACCTGTATCTGCAGTTCCTTCTGCTATCGAAGATCCCAAAATAAAAATAGATCTCACCAGCTACTTTGTGAAGAGGCCACCTGGGGTCCTGCACTGCACCACAAAATACACTGAGTTTGGAAAAGCAGCTGGAGCCGAGGAATATGCGCAGCAGGAAGTGAGTGTTGGGGTCCCACCTCCTCCTTCCATGTCCTCTCCCTCCCCAGCAGGGTGTCCATGAGCCTGGGAGAGGGTTGGGAATGGGCTTTGCTCTGACCCAAGAGGCCAAATACAGGGACAGCAACTATGTCCATGTGGCCTGTGCAGAGAAAACTCCAAATTGTTGAGATGGTGATCGTTTCCTGTTTCCAAACAAAATACTCCCACTTTCCCTGATCACACATGGCTTCCAGCATCATCTCTGACAGCCTGAGCTGAATGATAACGAATTGAGGGACTTAGATTCCCAGATTGATTATTTCAGAGCACATAAGCCCAGTTTAAATATTGGAATTTGTGAAGAACAAAGACGTTAGCAGCTCCGAATCCACGGAGCTGGGGTGTCAGGCACTGACCTTCTCCCTGCTCTGGGTGTTTTGACCATGTCACAGCAAGAGCTGCCATGAGCTGTCCCCGAGCCTGGGGACGGTGACCCCAAGGCAGCGCCGTGAATCCCCACCCACAGGCGCTAACGCTGTCCCTTGTGCGTGTCCCTCTCCTCCAGGCCGTGAAGGCTTCCTACGGCAAAGGCTTCACCCTCTCCATCTCGGCGCTGTTCATCACCACAAAGACTGTCGGGGCTCGCATCGAGCTGAGCGAGCAGCAGCTGCTGCTCTGGCCCGGGGACGCCGACAAGATCCTGCCCACGGACAACCTCCCGCGGGGCAGCCGCGCTCACATCACCCTCGGCTGCGCCAACGGCGTCGAAGCCGTCCAGACCGGGCTCGACCTGCTGGAGTTTGTGAAGCTGGAAAAGGCAGGGAACAAAGGGGAGCAAGTGGGGGAAATCGGAGGAGGGAAACTGCTGTATTTTGATAACGGTATGTGGATGCTTGTCCTGTCTAAAAAGATTGATGTGAGGGCGATATTTTCGGGATACTATGGGAAGGGAAAACTTGTGCCAACGCAGAGCACCAACAAACGGGGCTCTGCCTTTAGCTCCTGCACCATCATCTAGGAGCACAGGCAGGGCAGCTCCTTGGTTTGTTTTTATAAGGCAAGTAACTCCTGTAACCTTAAAAGTGTAAAGAGAAATAATTCTACCGTTACTAAAGTAAACCCTCCTGCCCACCCCAGCGTGAAGCCTCTGGGGAGTTATTGGCCTCAGAAAAGGAAGAAAACAAGCAACTCCTGACTGAAATTGTCATGGATTTTAATACGAGTTTTGGAGGGAACCAGCTGGGGTGTCCTGCTTGTTTTCTTCCTTGGAGAAAGATCAACTCTGGGGCTTTTATCGCTTCCCTCTGAACCACAATCGTTCGATCTTTACCTGTTGGCACTGACCAAAGCCTGTCAGTCGCTGGTCTGAAGCCAAGGGAACTGCAGGATGTCCCTCCCCTCCCACACCCAGGGACTGACGTTGGCCATTCTGGGTCAGAACCAGCAAGACCCAGGCGTGGGTCACTCCTGTCAGGAGTCCTGTCCTTACCAAGGGTTTGGCCCCTAAGGACAGACCTCGCTGAGGGCAGCAGGTCCTGGCAGCCCGAATCGCAGGCCAGTCCCGCAGCTGCCCAGTGGGCTCCATCCCAGCTCCTGTCCCTCACAGCAGAGATGCTCTGGGGACAGCCAGGAGGAGGGCACTGTGCCAGGTTATGTCTTAAAGACACCAACCATGAACTTTGGGGAAATCAAGTGAAACAACAGGACAGGGAGCCAATTCCTGCAAAGCAGCTCCAGCCCCTTCCTTCCACCTGGGCTGGACCAAGAACCATCCCGCGTCCTGTAGGGAACAATCCTGCTTTGGCAGGGAGTGGAAGAGATGAACTAACATCTTTTCCATCTTATTTGATATAAACTAAAATCATGTCTGAAGTACAACTGGACTTCATGCAAGATTTTACTCCCTCTAATGCACTTGAATGTTAAGAGTTAGGCTGGAGTAACCCCGTAGTGTAGGAAGTGGAGGCACCGTAACCGTGTAACTCATGTCTGCTTGAACCTAAACCCTGGCTGGAAGTTACTGACCCAGCACTTTCGTCATTAAATCTGTTTTATTGAAACTTGGGTTTGTGCTGTGCCGGGCCCTGGCCCAGCAGGGCGGTGGCTCCTGGGCATGGTTTAACACAAAGCTCCACTAACAGCCCCAGGTAAGGTCCCAGCTCGACCTCCTGCTCTGGCTCAGGGTCTGGGGAGCAGCAGAGTGACATTAACCCACACTAACACTGTAAATACTGACTGTGTTTGAGGCGTGGGCTGGGCTGGGGCAGAGCTCACCCCGAGCCCACTGTTGCTGGGGCAAGGAGCATTTCTTCTCTGACTGTTGAGGCCAAAAGCAGGGAGAGCTTTGGTGCTTTTCTGGTACCGAACACTCTACCATGAAAGCAAAATACTTCCTGCTGTTCAGAAGCAAAGGATAAGAATAAATTCTCATTATAACATAAAATAGCGAGCTACAAACCCACCCAGAGCACCTGTGACCCTTCATGGAGAAACCCCTCTGAGCTTCTGCACTGGCAGCAGCCGAGTGCCCAACGCTCAGCCAGGGCCGCTCCTGACAGAACCTCCAGGGTTTGTTCCACCAAAGCTCTACAAGGTATTTGCCAGCACCTGCTCAGGGGCCGGCTGAGCCCACTCCCCCAGCGCCCAGATCGCTCCAGCACTGGAATCAACAGCTGGAATATCTCCTTCATCTGCCTGTTCAAGAACAACAGTGACACTGTCGTTGTTTGAGTTTTTATTAGTTTGTACATCATATACAGTTTATAATAAAGTAAAACCGATTGCATATGAGTCTGCTCAGGCTGATTTCCCATACAAACACGGCATCAGGAGTTCTGCTAAGGAAGTAAACAACAAATATTCACATTTTTACCATTCACATCCTAGAAAGGTCGAAGAGGGACAGTTGGTACCGATGCGGAGCCCGGCTGGAAGAGGATGAGGAGTTTGGCAAAGCAATGAGACAGCGATTGCTCCATGCAATTCCCCTTTCCTCCCAGGGAAAGGTTGAGCTATGTACACTGAGGTAAACATTCCGAATTCCAATTCAGATAAATACGGCAGTGCAGGGACAAGCTCCTCTCCAAGTGGCTTCGCATCGGTGCCTGGATTTGTCCTGACTATTCCGCAATGCTGTGACACTCGTGCACTGTGGGGCTCTGGGTGCTCCCCCACGGCCCCTCGGATGCCACCTCACACCACACTGGTCACAGGAGCCATTAGGGGACAGGGGGACAGGGCTGGGCAGTTGGACAGGCTGGGATGGCAGCCGGGCTGCTCGTCCCGCTGGCTCGGGGCTCCCCACGGATCCTGCCCTCCTGGGCCACCCCCAGAGCTCCAGCTCGGGCACGGTGTCCCAGCTGCCAGCAACAGACCAGAGCTGTCCCTCCAAGCTCAGATCTGGGTCAGGGAAAGTGCCCAGCACTGCTCCAAGAAGGGATAACCCCATCCACAATGGTGGGAATGAGGAGAGCGGGGCCTGGCCAGGAAGGCCAAAGCATTTCACATCGGCTCTCACAATCACACAGGGACCCAGAATGGCCTCACAGAGCCAGGGACAGGGACAGCCACCAGCTATTGCCACCTACCCCTGCCACAGCCCTGCCACAGCCACCCAGGGACTAGCACTGCTCCAGGGACACGGGTGGGTACAGCACACAGTTGTCCTGTTCCCTAGGGAAGAGGAGGGGAGAGGACAAGGCACGAATTTAAACAGGATGAAAACCATCCATCACAAATAAGAGAATATCTGGAGTTATTACTGAAACTGAGGAAGTCATTTGGAAACAGCAAAGCAGCACATGGCCCAACCCTGTGACTGTTTGATGGCTGCAGATCCAGGCCAGTGTGGCTGGACAGGGACTGGCACCAGGCTCCACCAGGCTCAGACACACCACGGTACCACAGCAGCATGCACTCTGCATCTCAGCAGATACAGAGTGGAGGGACCCACTATTCTATGGATAATACTCTTGTACCTGAACAATTTGTCTTTCCCATTTTCCAGTTTGCATTTCTGCATTTACAACAGCCAGCAGCACAGGGGATCCTGCTCACTGAGCGCTCCCAGAATCAGAAACAAACCAGGTACATTTCTGTGCAGCCAACGCAATGAGGTGCCTTAAGAGGGTGGCCAGAACCTCCTGGATGGACTTCACAGCTTTCCAACCCAAACTATTCTCTGATTCTCAGCATGGCCAGACAAAACCACATCCAAGGCAAAGCCTAATAGCCACACAGCTCCTGATCTCCCTGGCAAACTGCAGTCCTACAGCAGAGCCCTCACATGCCAGCTCTGCCCAAGCCACACTCCTCACACACTTCTCTTCACAACTTTCCCAGAGAAGCTGACAGCCACTTGCCAGTTCTTGAGCTGTTCAGAGCATCTACTCCCAACCTGGCTGGTGGAAGATGTCCCTGACACACCAGCCTGGTCTGGCTCTCAGCCATGGCAGCTCTGCTCTCTCCAGGTCCTTGTTGGCAGCAGCTCTACCAGCACCAGCCATTCCCCCTTGGAGACCCTGGGCAGGAGCTGCCAGGCTGAGTCAAACCAAAGTGTGTCCATCCCACCATGCCTGTGCCTTGGGCAGCTGCTGCACCACCACCTCCTGCACCTCTGTGTGCTCTCTGTCCTTCTAGAAACAGCACAGGCACAGCGCCGCTTGAAGACGCTCTTGTGGTCTCTGCAGCAAATCCCTGTGGCTGGTGGTCCCATGGGGCTGGTGGTCCCATGGGGCTGGTGGCTCTGTGGGCCTGGTGGTCCCCCTGGGGCTGCAGGATGTGTGGAAGGGCTGTGAGCAGCTGGAGCACTGGCACTCTCAGCTTTCCTGTAGCTACACCCAACCACAACCCATGGATAATGTCCTGGAACCACCATGTGTGGAGGCAACATTCCAAGCAATGCACAGCTGAGTCCATTTTTTGGAAAGAAGCTGAGTTTTGTCTCCCCAAGCCATGCTGGGACATGGTGGAGGTCACAGTGCCACTGGGCACTGCTGCCCTGAGGTGCCAGGTGCCACCGAGCCCTGCTCAGCCCTGCTCTGTGCTGTGGGGAACAGGGGCTGCACAGGGCCTGGGGCACTCTGGGCTAGTGGAAGGTGTCCCTGCCCATGGCAGAGGGTTGGACTTGACAGCCTTTAAAGGCCTTCTAGCCCAACCCATTCCATGGTTCTATGCATTTGCCTTCACCTTGATTCAGGTAACAACGCTCTGTAGAAAGTCTTGGCACTCACCATATGAATATTTAACTACATTAAATCATGCATTCATGTACAGGTTATAAATAGCTGCTGTATACATTTTCTCTCCCAGAAGCAGAGCCATTCCACTCCTGTGCTCCAGGGAACGGGCTCACTCAGCTTGGAGAGAAGGAAGGGAGGAAGGAAGCTGGTCACACTTCCCTGGGGCAGGGGAAAATGAGAATAAACCCACTGACAGACACAGAACATGGCTCTGCTCAGCAACAGGAGACTGAGAACAACCCAGACTGTACAGTGACATCAACACACACACACGGGACGAGATGTCATGGATCCAAAATGCCACTAAACAGGCATTGTAAACTCTGATTTACAGTGCCAGGAAAGCTAGGGAAGCATCAGTGTGCATAGACCAGTATTTCAGTTCCCCACGTATTCACCATTTCAGAGCCTGAAAAGTGGCAGGACCCAGCTGCTCTTGGTGCACCTGGGTGGGTCCATCCCTCACACCAGTGTGAAGGACGTCAGAATAAACGTGGGAGAGTTGGGTTTTGAAAGTACTACTCAGCGCTGGTTCACTTAGAAAGCTGAGTTTCAAACCAGTTGTAAAATACTCTGTTCTGCAGTGCTAAAATTTAAGCCCTTAAATTTTCCCTCTACGAAAGCAGATTGTCAAGAATCCTGACCAAACACCACAGCAGGACCACGACAGCAACGTCACCAGCGCTGGAACCGCCGGGAGCTCCCCACAGCAGCCCCTGTCCTGCTGAAGGGCACTGCCCTCGGGAGGGAGGAAGACAAAGACGTGGCATTCTGAGTGATCACCTCGTTCAGTGAGCTCGAAATGAGCTCCCTGCAGTGTTTGTTCTGCTTCGGGAAGGCAAATCAGGTGTTACACAGAGTCACTGGGAGGTTTTCTCTCAGCACAGCCCAGCCTGTGTGCACAAGCAGCCATTCTCTGAGCAAACTCCAGCTTCCAACAGCCCCACACTGCCAGGGTCAGCCCAGGAGCTTGGCCAAACCCCTGTGCCCCTCACTGAGCACAGCCCAGGACCCCCAGCCACGGCCCCACTGCCTCTTGCTCCGCTCACATCCCAGGCTGAGCCTGACAGCACCGTGCTCCAGAACCTGCCACAGACAGGAGCTCACACAGGGCACCTGGACAAAAAAGGTCCATGCTGTAGAGAAAAGGGGGGAATTCTGGAAGCAGAGCCCTCTCCCAGCTGAGACCCTGCTGTAACACCACCTTTTAGGTGAAAATCAAACTGCTAACAGGCAGTGCCCCACACCAAACCCACCAGGACACGGCTCCAGGCCGGAAGCTCTTCCATCCCTCCAGCTCCTGTCCTGACACTGTGCAAGAGAAAGTACAGACTGTCAGTTCAGAGCTGGACTTGCATTTTTTTGCTGCTTTGGAGGAGTAAATCACTGCCAGGGGAAAACCAGGTTAAGTAAACACACAGCTGCTGCACACCAGGAGCTCAGCACTGCACATCCCAAACCACCCATGATCCCTGCCTGGAATTCACTTGGCATTGAAAGACTCACCCATGTCATGGATCAGTAACAGGAAACCACACATCAAGCTCAACAAAATCAAGTTTAGCACAAATATAAAATATTCAAGTGGATTAATTTAAAAAAGTACAGTGAAGGAATTCAGCCCAGAGCAAATTCAATATTCCCTTAAACAGGACAATCTTGGGAACACAAAGCCCTTAATTCCAGCTGCATCACAGGGAATTCTCACATAAGCTGCTCTTTAAGCAGCATTTCTCTGATACAGAATTGTAAGCTCACACGTTATCACAGAAGTTTAATGCCCAAGTGGGCCTTGCTGGGAGAACCATGAAAAAAACCAAAAGAAATAAAAAAAAGCCAAGAAGAAGCCAGGCTTGCAGGTGAAATGGGATTGTACAAAACTGGATTGAGCCTTGGCAGTATTTCCAAAAGATTAAGATAACTTACAAGTTACTCCAAACCCTGGACATGCTGCTTTGGAAGCAACCAGAACAAACCAGGAATTCCTTCTCCCTCTCACATGTGGAGATTCTGGGAAGATTCCAGGAAATCCTCTGTGCAGAGGGGCAGAAGCAGCTGAAAGCACGGGCCAGCATGGAGGGACCAAGAGATTCAAAGCTTTATTTTTTTTTTTTTTTTTTTAATAAAGTTAACAGTAAAACAAAATTCACAAGCCTTCCCCTCCCGAGCTGGTTTCCTCTTCACACACACAACACACAAACAGAGGCTCCAACCCAGAAATGAAACTGCTCTAAGGACAACGAGACGTGATGGAGGAGGAGTCTGGGGCTGTCCGTATTCGAGGTTAAAAGAAGCAGATCAGGTATGTGTGGTTTGATTTGTGTTTGTTTGCTTCTTAGCCAAACTGGAAAAAGAAATTTCCAGGCCCAGAAGCTGAAAAAGAAAATGGAAGATAATCAGGACTTCTCAAATCCAAATTGGTTTAGTGCAATCCTAAGCAGCACATGGATGGCCAAGCCCACACACAGCTCCAGAACTGGGAGCCCCTGGGTCTGTGGCTTTGGAACCCAGAAGAACCAGAACCAGCCACCAGCTGACACTGCAGGCAGAACTTTGAAAAAGCTCTTAAGATTTATGCAACAGACAAATGCTCTTCTCAAGCAGCACATCCACTGGGAGCCCCAGCTGCCCTGCCAGGGGGATCTGTGTACTTACGATTCCAAGGCTGGGAGGAGAACACCTCACCTACCTTCGAAGCTGAAGCCCCCTGGCCCGCTGAAGAAGGCCTTGAAGATGTTATTTGGATCAAATTCTACAGGGAAGAGAAGGAATTCATGAGCTGCAGTGAAACAGCCATCACATTCCCACAGTTCAGGAGCTGTCAGCTCACTGAGGGTCCAGAGAGTGTCTCAGAGTGGCTGGGCAGGGGCACAGGGCTGGCTCCCAGCACCTGGGGCCATGTAAGTGACCACAAACAGGTAAAGTAGCTGTCCCAGAGAGAGCCTGCCACAGGGCAGCCTATGGGTCTGGAGAAGCAGCATTTAGGGACTCACAATTACACTATTTAACACATCCTGTGACAGATTGCCAAGGACAACACCCACCAGTATTCCAGCCTGAACTGGGAACACTCAGTGCAGCCCTGTCATCCCAGCACTGTCAGGGACCAAACCCAGTCAGTTCATGGAACCATTCCCAACAGGAGGCTTGCTTTAGGGGATCAGGCAGACTCTAAAGGGTCTGATCCTGGTAAAGGCTGCCATGGCAGAGTATTGTAAAGAACACTGACCTCCCATGTTTAATCCATCCTCTTCCAAATCCTGCCCACTGTCATAACGGGCCTTCTTCTTGGGATCTGACAGGATGGTAAAGGCCTCACCAACCTCCTTAAATTTCTTCTCCTCCTCCTTCTGTACTTCTGCACTTGCTCCACTGTGTCGGTCTGGGGATACACAAACAAGCAGGAAAAAGCTTTTAATTTCTAGTGCAAATGAATAATGCTGCACATTCCCAAGCTCCTGTCCCAGAATAT